GGGCGGCGAAAGGGAAGAGGGGGGGGGGCGAGTCGGAGAAGACGGTGGCGGGCAGTTGGAGAAGATGGTGGCGGGCCAGTCAGAGAGGAGCGTAGACAGTGGGCTTTTGCCGGATGTCCCAGACCTGCGTCTTCTTCGGCTGAGTCTTCATGTGGTGGGTCGTCGCCTTCTTGTTGGGCCGAGACGAGCACTCTATCAACGCCGCCGCCGTTCCACGGGGCTGACTTCCTCGCGTCGGCAATCGACGGGGTTGACTTCCACGAGAAAGAAGAATGAAGGGAGAAAATGAAAAACGGATTTAATCCGTTTTCAGATTTTCAGAAAACGACAAAAACGTTTTTGTTTTTATTTTTAAAAAAATTTTGCTCCAAACGCGTTTTTTATCTGCGTTTTCAATTTTTAATCTCGAAAATCGTGAAAAATAGAAATGAAAACAGAAACAAACAAGGCCCATGTTTCTTATAGTGCCAGAGGCCCCGTTTGGTGCAGGATCATATAATATAGTTTTAGGACAATGGATTCGAATGTATAGGAAAATATAGAATTAGATTTTAGTTTAATTCATCCCATGTTTGGTGTTGTGTTATTAGGATGAGGGCATTTTTGTAAACAAAATTTAAAATTTAGAGTTAAATTGTAATTTTTTTTAAATTTAAGGGGCAAAAATATAATTTTAAAAATATTTTACACATATAAATTTACAATTTGACCCGTCAATTTTTTAAAAATTACAATTAAACCCTGAATTTTATAAAAATTTACAAGTAGGTCCCTAAGAGCACCTACAATGCAATACTATAATTAATGTGTCAATTGTAAATTTAACATTTGAGTGTAAAAAAATATCCAATGCAATGCTATTTGTTATGTTAAATTTCCCACTCTGTGATAAATTTTTCACCAAATATAACATATGAAAAATTTGACATTTAATTACTATTGGTTGAAATGTTTATTTTTTCCATGTAATCAATGGAACTTTTGTATTTTTTAATTATTTTAAAAATAAAAATTTACTTTTACAACTTCCAAAGTTTAATAATTATAGGAAAAAATAAATTTGACATTTCAAATAGCATTATGCATTGGAGCAAAAATGAAAATAACATACTGTATCCTAATTTTTTATGTTAAATATATAATTGACGTTAGCATTTATATTAGAGATGGTGTTATGTTGGAGAGGTGACTCTATCTTGGTAAGCTATATTCTTTAATTAGTTGGTTAGTTACAAATAAGACTACAGCTTATTTGTTATAACCGACTTAGTTACTATTAACCATGAATTGGTTAAATGCCTTAACTCTGGTTAGTCTTTAGAGTATAGTATAAATAGATCTCTTGTAATTAAGTTCATTATTAAATGCTCTTGCTTAGTTTTCTTCTGAAGAAAAGGCTGAGTTCATGGGTGTGAAAACTGAGAGGTGAGGAACGAGTGTTTTTGGGAATAGCTCAAGGGTTTGAACAGAGCTTGTATTTTCTGAGAGACATTTGTTGTACCTGTGTGAGATCAAGAGTGTGTAATCGTTTCTTTTCTGGTGATAGTGGATTGTGCTGGGGAATTTCTTCCCTGCCCTTGGATGTAGGGTTTCTCCAAAGCCCGAACCAAGTAAATCGTTTGTGTCTTGATCTTTCTCTGTGCATGTATATTTTCTGGTTGTGTTTGATCTGAAATCAACATTTGGTATCAGAGCTTGGTAAAACAGAGAAGATCAAACCAGGATTTTTTTCCAGAAATCGGAAGAGAAATCAAGAATGGGTTTTACCAAGATTGAAATCGATAAATTCGATGGCCGCGGCGATTTCAACATGTGGAAGAAGAAAATGTGAGTGATTATGGTTCAACAACGATGCGTGAAAGCCATCGACGGTTTTCCTGAAGGTACGAAGGATTCTGACCAAGCAGAGGTAAATGAACTGGCTTTTAGTCTGCTAATCTTGAATCTGTCGGATAATATCTTGAGGCAAGTGGATGAGGAAGACACTGCCTTGAAGATTTGGGCAAAGTTAGATTCTTTGTATGTTAAGAAAACTCTAGCAAAGTTAGATTATCTTTGGAGGATAATCTTGATGATTTTAAGATTATCACGGTGAGCTTGTCGAATATCGGGGAAAAGATTGATGATGAAAATCAAGCAATCATCCTGTTAAATTCCTTGCCTGATTCTTTCAACGATATGAAAACTGCCATGAAGTGTGGGAGAGACTCATTGTCTCTGGAAGATGTCTTGGGAGCACTG